CCTTTTAAGAATTGTATCCTGGGGCATTGTTTCATTCTCTTAGTGTTTTTACTGCGGCGTGGATTTAGGATGAGCTATGAACATTAACTTGGAATGAGAAGCCAAGTCTGTTTTAGAGGTGTGCAGGGGTTTAGTTGCTTTAATGAGGGACATTTATAGATCTCTTAGACACAACTAGGTCAATAGATATTAAGTGTTAATAGCACCCACATTCTCTCTCTTTTTCTTTTTTAGCTAAATCTCAAAGACTAGACAGTATACTGATATTTCAGCCAGCCGGTGGAAATCTGCCTCTTAGAAGACCGAGTTACTTCTGTGGGGAGTACTGTACCCTTTGAGCCCTGGTGGTGTAGTGGTTACTCTTTGGCCTGTGATTCACATGGTCAGCAGTTTGAAACCACCGGCAGCTCATTGGGAGAAAGTCTGGGCTCTCTACTTCCATAAAGACTGACAGTCTTGTAAAACCTCAGGGGCAGTTCGCCTGGTTCTATAGGGCTGCTGTGAGTCCGAATCTGTTCCATAGCAGTGAGTTTGGGTTGAGGTTTAAAGTCACCGCATTATCCCACAGCCACGCCAGGCTGCCAGCGCAAGACCTGAGGATGACCGGCCCACGTGAGGCAAATGAAACTCAGCTCATCTGATGCGTGGTTGATGCGCTGCGTCATTGTTAGCACGCTGCATGGTGAGCGATTCAGCATTAATGGAAAGCAGTTCCCACAAATGGCTGTAATTAGCATCACATTTCTCGAGCCAAATTACATGTCTCCTTCTCCTTCTCTCTTTTTAGTTCCAGGGTTGGTAGTTGGCAGGGAGCCCTCCCTGTCCCGCAAGACTAGGGAACATCAGCTTGACCCCTTCCCGTCCTGTGGCTTCTTGAAGCCCTAAGCTGTGTCTGCCGACCCGGACGTCCAGCCAGCTTGGTGCTGAACATAGCTTTGGGCCGGGACCATCCTGAGCTTCCTGCGGAAGCTTTGATCCCTCAGCTTCTGAAACAAAACTCGCACCAAATCCTCACGGGGTTAAAAGACTAGATGAAGGAGCTGGAGATGCTGGGAAAGGTCATCTCACACGCTGGTCAGCAAGCAACTTCAGCATCTCGTGGACCTCCTGCGTCATCTTGAGGGCCTTTCTTCCCACCTGCATCTCTAAGTCCACCCGCCCCCATCTCATCTCCCTCAGGCCCTGCACCACCTCCACCTGCTTTCTCTTCCCCTGATCCCTGCCCTATCTAGGGCCTGTCCCCAGAGGTCTTCTCTGGCCTCCTTTCTAACTCTTCCCGTGCTTCCTTCTTTGCAGAAAAACAACTTCTCCTCCTGTCTCATCCCTGAATGCCTTCCTGCCTTCGTATCTGGGTTCCATCTGGGTTCCGTGTCGATGTCTTTTCTGTGGGCTCTGGTGAAAGCCACTCCTAATTAGAGGATTTATGGGACCAACATATAGACAATTAGAAGTTCTCCTCTGATTTCATAAACTAGGCCTGCAGGGTTTGCCCACCCTCATCTGGGCCCACGCATAACCTCTGAAGTCCCTGGAGTCTCTCTAGTGCTGCTCTGCTCTTGGCTCTGTCCTGCCTGGGCTTTGGGTGCAGGAGAGCCTGGAGCAGAAGCTGCGTGGGCCTTGGACGGCTCTCAGGTGGAGGGCAAATAGCCCAGGTGGGAGGAGAGCCAAAAGGAATGTGAATTCTACCTTCTCCTGAAGCATACCTTCCTCCCACTTGGTTTTTGAGCTTACAAGGAGTACCAGGCAGTATGCAAATCACTGGAAAGGAAATAGTGAACCAAACAGCACTATCCCTGCTCTCCCTGAGCTCCCAGGCCGCTGTGGGAGGAAAAGAACCCACCAACCAAGCTCATTGCATCCAAACGCCCTGCAACTCATGACCAGCTCCGGCATCGGGCCTAACTGTGGGCATTTATTCAGTATTTACCATGTGCCAGACCCTCGCCCAGGCGCAGGGCCCTTGTTAGCTCATTTCATCCTGCCGCGGAGACCCGATGGTAGGTTTTAGCACTTTCATTTTATAGCTAAGCAAAATGTTTGAGTTGTTGTCAGCTGCCATTGTGACCCGTGCACAGCAGAGCGAAACCCTGCCCGGTCCTGTGCCACCCTCACCATTGTTCCCAGGCCCGAGCCCACTGTTGCAGCCCCTGGGTCCATCCACCTCACCGAGCACCTTCCTCTTTTTAGCTGCCCCTCCACTAAGCAAAATAAAATACAAGAAAGTTAGATCATATGCTCAAGGTGACACGGCTAGTCGTTATGTGACTCCATCTTCCTAATCCTGACCACCCCACCATTTGACATACTCCCATGATCCTCGAGGGCCCCGGGCCCCCACATGCTGACAGGGCAAACTTGTAAGCAGAGAATCTTCTCCCGGGAGTCCAGGAAGACAGTCGGGTTCCACGGTCTGTGATCCCAGGGGAGTTTCTCTGAATTAATTCACCAGGAGAAAGAACCAATCGGTTCTGGAGGGAGCCCAACTGGAACACACCTTAGAAAGGAGGGTGGCAAGATTTGCTGTTGCTTACTTTGGACCCATCAAGAGGCAAGACCAACTGGTAGACAAGGACATCATGCTTGATAAAATAGAGGGTCAGCTGAAACAAAGGGAACTCTTGTTTGGATCAACGCAATCGGTGTAATGCTGGGCTCGAACGCACCAACTGTGAGTGGGGATGGCGTCGCACTGGGCAGCGGTTGGTTCCGTTATACATAAGGTTGCCGTGAATTGTAGCTGACTCAACAGCAGTTGACAACAACAGCAGATAATCCAAATGATTGTCATTCCCACGAGTCTACCGGCTGTGAAGATACCATCACTGCATAAAAATTATTCTGGGAGGACCTTTCAGCAAGTCCCTTCTAGACACACACACACACACACACACACACACACACACACACCCCAAAATCCCAAACCTGTGGCGATTGAGTCATTCTATATGGACTCTATAGGACAGATAGAACTGCCCCACATGGCACCCAAAGCTGTCATGCCAAGGAAGCAGATTGCTACATCTTTCTCCCACAGAACAGCTGTGGTTTCCAAATGCCCACCTCATAGCGAGCAGCCGAGCCTTTAATCAGTGCACAACCAGGGTCCCTCCAGGCTCCAGCCCTACCACTTTTGTCTGTGTGTCTTGCTTGTGTGGAAAGAGGAAGCAGATACAACTGATTTATAGACTTTTCTCATGGAACTGGAGTTCAGCTATCCGACTTCTAGCTTCTTTTCCCAACCAACCTAAGGAATCCTGTTTCCTCCTGGCATTCCAGATGGGTGTTTAGAAACCAGGTCATTGCAAAGCACCTGGTTCCCTCCTCCAGACTGCCAAGCTCAGTGGTTGAGCTACAATGATCCCCTCTATAATTCCTATGTTTGGTCCTAGTTCTGCCATCTGAAGCTATGTTCCAGAAATGTTCTTTTGACAAATAGAAGAGAGCCCTTTAGTGATTGAAGGGTGCCATTTCTCTCCTATCCCCGCCTTGGCTAGTTCTCATCTTTTCAGGGGAGCGTAAACACATCTTTTTTTGGTGACCTA